TTTCTAAATAATAATGTAGTTTAATAGATAAGATTCCATAATAATCTTTTTGTTTTGGTTGCATGTGTTTTAACAGATGACTTGCTGTTATAGTTTATTCATATAGTGAGCACTTACTGCGTACAGATTTGTATTTGAGAACTCAATATTGTACACACTTGAGTCATCTTGAATGTGAATAATACAAGCTTCTAACTTTGGCCATATTTCTCTAATGGGTGTGTGTGCTATTAAGAAAAAATACTGGCCAACATTAAAAGTGATAGCCTAAAATGTTTAGTGGGCATTTGCAGTTCGTTTGGAAACTAGTTGGCATTTTTAAATTTTTCTCAGCACTAATACAGTGGTATGACATTTTCTTCATTGCTAGGTTACTTAGTTATAATTCTTTTTTTTTTTTTTTTTTTTTTTGAGATGGAGTCTCGCTCTGTCGCCCAGGCTGGAGTGCAGTGGCGTGATCTCGGCTCACTGCAAGCTCCGCCTCCCGGGTTCCCGCCATTCTCCTGCCTCAGCCTCCCTAGTAGCTGGGACTACAGGCGCCAGCCACCTCGCCCGGCTAATTTTTTTGTATTTTTTTAGTAGAGACGGGGTTTCACCGTGTTAGCCAGGATGGTCTCGATCTCCTGACCTCGTGATCCACCCGTCTCGGCCTCCCAAAGTGCTGGGATTACAGGCTTGACCCACCGCGCCCGGCCTAGTTATAATTCTTTAGGAGTCTGAATTTGACTGATCCCTACAGCTGTTACCACAGATTTCCCTGGTTTATTTCACTTTATGGTATTGCTTCATACTCTCAAATTGGAATATTACAGTATTTCATCCTTGGGATTCAATAGTTTTGGTTTGCTGAGAAATCAGTTACAGATTAAGAAGTGATTTCTTTGAAACATTAAATAATGATAGATGGCTTGTTTACTGGAAAAAGAGAATGAATGTTATCAGTGAATTGGGATAAGTCATTATTTTGGAAAGGCAAAGAATACAAGTAGTTTATGGAACAGAATATGGTTTCCTTATTTGTTTTGTATGTGGGGCTCATTATCTAAACTTCGTTGATCATTGTGGAGTCAGAAATGAGGGAAAGCCTCACCTTGTGGCTTTCCCACCTTCGTTTTTCCTTTTTAAATTAGAAATAGGCCGGGCGCGGTGGCTCACGCCTGTAATCCCAGCACTTTGGGAGGCCGAGACGGGCGGATCATGAGGTCAGGAGATCGAGACCATCCTGGCTAACACGGTGAAACCTCGTCTATACTAAAAAATACAAAAAAACTAGCCGGGCGAGGTGGCGGGTGCCTGTAGTCCCAGCTACTCGGGAGGCTGAGGCAGGAGAATGGCATGAACCCGGGAGGCGGAGCTTGCAGTGAGCTGAAATCGGGCCACTGCACTCCAGCTCAGGCGACAGAGCAGACTCCGTCTCAAAAAAAAAGAAATAATGCTGACCTCTCAGGATTGTTAATGAGACTTAAATGAGAATACACATGAGGAGATGTATTCTGTCTATTGCTGTCTCGTTTACTTTGCTATATGAAGCCAGTTGAGGAAGCTACAGGTATAAGTGGCAATGAGAGCTTCATCTAATCTTACGGATTTAGAGAATGGAGATAGAGAAGATAATTTGGAAATCCAGTTGATGGAATTTGTCAGTGAACTGCCTGTGGTGGAAGGCAAGATGAGGGAGGAGGTCAGTAGTACTAGTGCTGTAGACAGTAGAGATTCTGCATGACTTTAGGAAACATGCCTGTACAGAAGTTGGTGAGAGAAGGAATATTAAGAATTAAATAGCTACAGGGGAGCTCCTCTTTAAAGTAAAACTAATCTCCTGTTTCTTAATTAAGCGATTTGACGTAGGGACATTGACTAGACAGCAAACTAGTAAATTAACTCTGTAACACAACACCTTTGCAGCTTGTACAATTTAAGTTCATACATAGCAAAGTACCAAGTAAATACATAACATGAATGACTCAAAACTCTGAAAGTCATGTCCACTTTCTAGGGGCCTTGTTCTTGTCTTCTGCATTGCCATCCCAACTCACTCTCTCAAGGCTTTCCCTCCTATACTAGTGTTGCCATAGGTTACTGATGATGCATACATTATTCAGTGCTTGGTGATCTGTCCAGTCTCAATTCCAAACCTTTCCTTTGCCTGTGCTGAATAGAGGCAAACATCGTCAGATGTTTGTAGAAGCATTAATCAGCCTGTAGTATTTCCCAAGGCAAAGCAGCTTGCAGTTAGATCTTGCACCATCGAGCCCTGTGCTTCTGTGCTGTTTATTTCCCTTTCAGAGCCTCATGGCCTCCCATGAGGCTTGAGTGAGCAGATACTAGCTGGTGGGCCTGCTCTTTTGGTCCTAGCAATGCAGGAAGGCAACATGACAGCTTAATGGCTCAGATACACTTTGGCAGAAAGCCATTCTTTAAGCTTTGAATTGTGGTTAAGACTGCTTCTTCAGAGTGGTTTTCATTTTTACCACAAATGTAGGTTTGATCATTATAATGTAAGTTACAATTGAAAAGAAGAAATATAAGTTACAATTCAAAAGAAGAAATGTATTGTTTCGTATTAATACTCAAGCAAGAAAGGCATTTCCTTTTTCATGTAGTGGTGTTACATAAAATGTTTTGGAAATCTCTTCTCCCCTATTCTGAACATAGGAATTTTGATTCCCATCATTTTATTTTAGTTTATTGTGTTATTTTTAAACTCGTATGTAGAATATCTACAATGTCCTATTTTATATGTGTTTAAGAGTGGCAATTGCCATATTTAATTTTTTCCTTAGGGGCAGGCTTCTTTGAAATAGCTTAACCCATTATAAACCTGACTCATGGTCTTGTCTTTGTTCATTAGACCTTATTTCGAAGGGCTCCATAAAAGCTCTGGTCTGTGTTATTGAAAAGGAAAGATGCACTGCTGAATTCAAGTACATGAAAATACCAAACTGTGTGTCAAAGGCTTGGCTGCTAAGAAATTGGCCAAACATGGTTTGATGGAGGCTGGGCTCGTACTATGTCTGTGTAATTTCTACCAACAGAAAAAAGAACACAAAACCTCTTCGTTAAATGGAACTATATGTAGATTCATGTTCTTTTTCAATTTAGAAAAAAAAACGTTCCTTGCAGAATTCTGATTGATAGTGTAAGCCATACATTCAGAAGACTGTCACAGTCCCTACTGCAATTGTAACATAGTGCTCTCGTGCAGGAAAAATGCAAGATAAATTGTTTCAGAATCAGATTTATGACATATATGTGCACACACAAGTGTCTTTGTGTGTATATATGTAGTCAAAGTGTGACACCCATAACAGATGTCTTTAGATTTCCTGAATGTTGTGTTTACAGCTTTATTTTACTTTTTTTTTTTTTTTGAGACGGAATCTTGCTCTGTCACCCAGGCTGGAGTGCAGTGGCACGATCTCGGCTCACTACAGCCTCTGCCTCCTGGGTTCAAGCGTTTCTCTTGCCTCAGCGTCCTGAGTAGCTGGGATTACAGGTGGCCGCCACTACATGCAGCTAATTTTTTGTATTTTTAGTAGAGATGGAGTTTCATCATGTTGGCCAGGCTGGTCTCGAACTCCTGACCTCAGGTGATCCACTCGCCTCAGCCTTCCAGAGTGTTAGGATTACGGGCGTGAGCCACTGCGCTCTGCCATGTTTACAGCTTTAGAAAACATTTTCTTACTTCTAGTAATCAAGGAAAAATTTACTCTGTACCCTTGTAAAATTTAGTCAGTAACTGAAGGATTGGGAAGGTAATGAGTTTCCTTTCAGATTTTTTGTTGCCCCCCTCACTCACACCAAATCAGTGCTATATCATAGAAGGTTTTAGGTCAGTTAATGCACTTTACATTTCTGTCATAAAAATTCATATTCTGTCACCCTTTTTTTTTTTTTTTTCCCTAGATGGAGTCTCACTGTGTCACCCAGGCTGGAGTGCAATGGCATGATCTCCACTCACTGCAACCTCCGTCCCCCAGGGTTCAAGCAGTTCTCCTGCCTCAGCCTCTCGAGTAGCTGGGACTACAGGCATGCACCACCATGCCCAGTTAATTTTTGTATTTTTAGTAGAGACAGGGTTTCACCATGTTGGCCAGGATGGTGTCAATCTCTTGACCTTGTGATCCACCTGTCTCCTCGTGATCCACCTGTCTCCCTGCCTCAGCCTCCCAAAGTACTGGGATTACAGGCATGAGCCAATACACCCAGCCCCTGTCACCCTTTCACATTGTAGTGTCCATAATTGAAATGCAATTAAATTCTGTCCTAATGCAGAGTACGTGGAAAATCATGAACGTTATAATCTAGTTAACATTTTTGAACAGAATTTACCAGTATATGAACTTGTGCAAGGTAGTTTCTAAGCTGGTTTCCTCATCTGTATGATGAGGATAATAATACCTACCTGGTAAGATTGATGTGGGGGCTGGGCGCGGTGGCTCATGCATGTAATCCCAGCACTTTGGGAGGCTGAGGCAGGGGGATCACTGGAGCTCAGGAGTTCGAGACCAGCCTGGGCAACGTGGTGAAACCCTGTTTCTACAAAAAAATACAAAAATTAACTGGGTATGGTGGCTCACACCTGTGGTCCCAGCTACTGGGGAGTAGGATCACTTCAGCCTGTGGAGGTTGCAGTGAGCCAAGATTACGTCACTGCACTCCTGCCCTGTCTTAAAAAAAAAAAAAAAAGAATAATGTGGGTATGATGTGAGATATGCATACAAAGTATGTAACATAGTGCCTGCCCTCCAGTAGCTGCTATTGTAATGTACTTCATATGGATAGGGACTGTGTTTCTTTTTTGCTGTTATCTGTTCCGAGTATCTAGTGTGGTACCTAACACCTAATGGGTGTTGAATAGTGAAAGGGAAAAGGAACCAGAATCTAGGAGAACAATTAATTATTACCATTCTCCTTCATTCCTCTTCATCTCAGTTTTAGGTGAAATAGGCAAAAGAATTTCACTACTTTAACAATTTGAAGTGAGGGTGAGAAATAAGAGAGAAAGTGCAAGGAAGAAAACTGTGTGACATCTTGTATGTACAAGCCAGTTTTCCATAATCACATTGTGGATTTTCCATGGAAGACGTTCAGTCCCCAGCAGTCTTTGTTGGGATGCACACAAAGCGCGCATGAAGCCCATCATGTAGCAAGTCAGGGGAAAGGGATGCTGCGTGCTGTCTGGCTGCCCTTCCTAGGGAGGTGTGGATTCTAGAACAGACTTCACTATGTTTCTCTCTCCTTTTGTATCCTTACCTTGATGGTAATAGGAACAATTTATATTCATACATATACTCCTCAGGTTCCTTTTTATTTCCTTTTTATTGCTAGTTTTGACACCTACGTGTCTGTTTTTTTCTGTTACTGGGCAGCTGGAGCCACCTGACCTGGCACTAACATAGGACCCCTCACAGCTGAGCTTAGTTATCCCTCTCTAAGCCATAGTTTAAGGACAAACTAAATATATTTTTTTGTGGTAAAATATACATAATGTAAAATTAACCATTTTAGCCAATTTTAAGTCTGCAGTCCAGTGGCATTAAGTACATTGATGTTATTGTGAATGCACTTAACCATCACCAGCATCCATCTCCAGAACTTTTCATCCTCCCAAATTGAAACTCTGTACTCATTTAACAATAACTCTCCATTCTCCCTTCTCCCCCAGGTCCCTGGTAGCCACCAATTTTTCTGTCTCCTTGAATTTGACTACTAGGTACCTCATATAAGTGGAATCATATAATAATTTGTCCTTTTGTGTTTGGCTTATTTCGCTTAGCATGTCTTCAAGCTTTATTCATGTTGCGTTGTAACATATATCAGAATTTCTTTCCTTTTCAGGCTGAATCATATCCCATCATATGTATGTATGTACCACATTTTTGTTATCCATTTGTTCATTGTCAGTGTACATTTGAGTTGTTTTCCACCTTTTGGCTATTGTGAGTAATGGTACTGTGAATATTAGTGTACAACTGTCTTCTAATTCCAGCTTTCATGTTTTTCTGAGTATATGCTCAGAAGTGGAACTGATAGATCATATGGTAATTCTGTGTTTGTTATTTTGAGGAACCATACTGTTTTCCATAGTGGCTGTACCATTTTGCATTCTCACTAGCTATGCATGAAAGTTTCCAGTTTCCCCCATATCCTTGCCAACCCTTGTTACTTTATTGTTACTGTTTTTTGTTTTAAATCAGAGCCATCCTAATGGGTATGAAGTGGTATCTCACAGTTTTGATTTGCATTTCCCTAATTAGGGAGGTTGAGTATCTTTTCATGTGCTTATTGGCTACTTGTGTATCTTCCTTAGAGAAATGTCTATTCCTTTGCTCATTTATAAACCAAGTTTCTTTGTTGTTGAGCTGTAGGAGTTCTTTATAAAATCCTGTATCGATATTTGATTATATGTATTTTTAAGGCAATATAAATATATACTTGTTTTGAAGGGACCATTTCAGTTTCACAGTATTCGTTAGATTAGATACCATTCAGTAATCCAGCCTTGAAAGAGTAGTAGTGGACTGACTTAGTGCTGGACACTATTACAGTGCTTTACATATATGAACCTTTTTGATTAGAAGTACATTTATCTGTGTTTTCCATTGAAGTAACTGAGGCACACAGAGTTGGAGTAAATTTCTTGCCCTAGGTCACACCACTAGTTTGCAGTAAAGCCAGGATTTCAGTTTAAGCAACCTAGTTCCTGAGTCCATGCACTTAGCCTGTATGAGAAACTGTGTGTGTGCTCTCATCAAGTGACACTTTTCAGGTCTTGAACACTGCTTTCCCTCTGTCAAAGATTTATCTTACTTTTTCCAGTGTCCAAACTAGAAGGCAGACAAAATTATCAGGGAACTGTGACTGAAATTCATAGAGACATGTGTGCCATTTTAAAGGCGGTTCATAAGATGAAGTGAGGCATCTGAAGGAGTTATTAGTAACAACTAAATAAACACTTGGAACCTCTTTAAAGTTTCATTGTATTTCTCTTTGTGGCAAACCCTTAGGTTTGATGTGATTCTTTGTTTGAGTCAGGCATGTATTTTCTAAAATGGTTTCCCTAGTGAAATTTGCTTGCTGAGACATTTTTTTTTTCTGTAAATTCTTTACTTATTTGCCTTTCTCTGTTTTTATTTTAAGCCGCTTACATTCTAGAGTTGGTGCTTGAGTGGCTATCAGTTGATGTGTAGAGAATGCAATTTTATCTTGTATCTTGTAGTTTAAGCCAAACTTAATTGGTAAGACAAAACAAAACTTCTTTGTCAAATTATATAATGCATTTTAAAGCAAAATGCAATTTTTGCCACTGCCCAGTATCACTAGTAATCACGTGTAGGGTGTGTGTGTTTTATGTATACACTGGGGAAGGAGATGAGAAATGTAGATCTCTTTTCTCTTTCAATATTGATGTTACTAACTGAGTGACTTTTTGTGTGAGTATATAGGCATAACTGGGAGGTACTGTGTTAACTAGCAATTTATTCCTCATTGTACACATGGATTTAAAATGTTTTTGTTACTACAAATGTTGCTTTATTGGACATCTTTGTATCCATGTTTTGGCACAGTAACAGATTATCTACCTGTATAATAAATTTCCAGAATTGACATGGTTAGGTCAAAGGAATGCACATCTTGAATTATAATACACATTGGCAAAATGTTAAAAGGGTGCACAAATTTAAACTCTTGACAGTGTGTGCAAGTTCTTTTGTCTCCACTTGCACACTGACACTGGGTATTATCAAACTTTAAATCTGTAGCAAGAAATTCTTCAGTAAATTGTCTTAATAACATAAAAATTAGGCCAGGAAGCTGGCCAGAATCTCTTACATGTCACCTCTGATGAATGTTTTTTGGATAGGCTTGTCACCACTAGATTCTGTAGCAAGCAGAGATAGGCCAGCATCTTGATTAAGAGATGAGTGCTTCTGTAGGTGTCACTTCTTTGTTCTGATATTTCAGCTTGCAGAAAAGTTGCACAAATATTAGAAGGAAGTTCCCCCAGATACCTCAGTGTTAACATTTTACCACATTTACCTTGTCCTTGTGTATATCTGTACATACACATATGCATATACATACCCACACGCATGCAAACTGTTTTCCCCGCTTAAACCATTTGAAGGTAAGTAGACGTTATACCCCATTCTTCTTAAATACCACAGTGTGTGGTTCTAAAAGTAAGGATGTTCTCTTCCATAACCACTGTACAATTATCAAAATCTGGAAATTAAAATTGCTAAAATCCTATTATGTAATTTACAGATTTTGTACAGATTTTGCCAGTTGTCAGTGTAATGTCTTTTTTTTTTTGAGACGGAGTCTCGCTGTGTTGCCCAGGCTGGAGTGCAGTGGTGTGATCTCCACTCACTGCAAGCTCCGCCTCCCGGGTTCACGCCATTCTCCTGCCTCAGCCTCCCGTGTAGCTGGGACTACAGGCGCCCGCCACCTTGCCTGGCTAATTTTTTGTATTTTTAGTAGAGACGGGGTTTCACCGTGTTAGCCAGGATGGTCTCGATCTCCTAACCTCGTGATCCACCCGTCTCGGCCTCCCAAAGTGCTGGGATTACAGGCGTGAGCCACCGCGCCCGGCCAGTGTAATGTCTTTTATAGCAAAAGTAAATTCTGGACTGTAGGTCCCTTTCAGTTGCTGTGTGTCCTTAGTCTCCTTTAATCTGGGCCTCAGTTTTTTGTTTCATTTTGTCAGCTCTTCCACAATTGGGATTTGTTCCTCAATTTGGCTTTGTTCCTTACATTTAGATTCTGGTTCTGTGGTTTTGGCAGTAATAGAGTATCAGAGAAGTGACAGTGTCTTCTTAATGTACCGTATCAGGAGGCATTTGATGTCAGTTTGCCTCATTCAGTCTTGATATATGAAATGTGGAGTAGTTTGCCCAGAGTCTGATTGCCCCTCTTTTTTTGAGGCCATAGATTTAAAAAATTTCTTTTTGAGGCCAAAAATTTCATTTAAGGCCTTCATATAAGATATTAATGGAGACCCGTATTCGCACAGCTTAGTTGTGGTGTCTGGATAGTGGGGCTTATGGCTGCTAGAGATTTAACCCAGGGGAATCCGTCTCCAGGTATGGATATTTTGAAAGACATGAACCAAACCTGGAAACAATATTGGAGGAACCTAAAAATCCAGATGCTGAGGGTGGCTGCAGTTGATACTGTCAATTACCCTCATTTAGGTCTTTTCATTCTTCCTGTTTCTTTACGTAAACTGCTGGCAGAATGTTATAAAGAGAAGTTCATTGGTGTTTGTTTTTTTTTTTAATTGAAAAAGGTAGAATTAAAGGACTTTTAAAAATTAAGTAAAAGAGCCTGAGTGCGGTGGCTCAGGCCTGTAATCCCAGCACTTTGGGAGGCCGAGGCAGGTGGATCACTTGAGGTCAGGAGTTGAAGACCAACCTGGCCAACATGGTGAAACCTTATCTCTACAAAAATACAAAAATTAGCTGGGCATAATGGTGGGTGCCTGTAATCCCAGGTACTCGGGAGTCTCAGGTGGGAGAATTGCTTGAACCCAGGAGGTGGACATTGCAGTGAGCCAAGATCGTGTCATTGCACTCCAGCCTGGGCAACAGAGCAAGACTCTCCATCTCAATAAAATAAATAAATAAAATAAAATAAGAAAATGGTGCTTTTCAGATGTTTCTATACAGCAAACTTAATGAGAAGAAAGTACATTTCTTCACCTGAAGTGGCCAGCTGCATGGCCTGTCTTTGAAATCTACCCCATAGGATGTGGGGTTTTTTTGTTTTGTTTTGTTTTGTTTTGTTTTTTCTGCAACCAGGTCTCATTCTGTTGCCCAGGCTGGAGTACAGTGGTGGGATCATAGTTCACTGCAGCCTGGTACTCCTGGGCTCACGCAATCCTCCCACCTCAGCCTCGTAAGTAGCTGGGACCACAGGCATGCAACACTGTATTAGTTTGTTCTCACACTGCTATAAAGAACTGCTTGAGACTGGATAATGTGTAAAGAAAAGAGGCTTAATTGCCTCAGTTCTGCATGGCGGAGGAGGCCTCAGGAAACTTACAAGCATGGCAGAAGGCAAAGGAGAGATAGGTACCTCCTTCACAAAGCGACAGGAAGAAGAGCATGTGTGGAGGAGGAACAGTCAAACACATAAAATCATCAGATCTCATGAGAACCCACTCACTATCATGAGAACAGCTTGGGGGAAACTACCCCCATGATCACTTGCTACCAGGTTCCTCCCTCGAAACATGAATATTTTTGTAGAGATGGGGTCTTTATTGCCCAAGGCTGGTCTTGAACTCTTGACTTAAGTGATACTCCTGACTTGGCTTCCCAAAGTGCTGAGATTATGGGTGTGAGCCACAGTGCCTAAGAGAGAAACATCCATAGGATGTTTCTTCATAAAAATGTTTAGTAGATGAGATTGTCCAGGAGAACACATCTTGCTTTGATCACCTTTGTTACTGTGGCCGAGGACAACTGGTTATAGCTAGCCAGGTTTTGAGCAGCATTGCCATTAAATGTGGTTTTTAAGATAAGAGCAGTTTCAAAACTAGAAATTGAAGTAGGACAAAGGCTGACATAGTGTCTTATTCTTGTGTGACTTAAGCTACTTTCTGCACCTGTGGGTGGAGAATGAGTAAACTTTTAAAAGTAAAATTACATATTTATTTAAAAATGTATTTTCAAATATTAACCTCTTCAATCATATTCAGTAGGTACAATGTTTAAGTAGTTTCTGAATGTTTTGTTTTTATAAATTATATAGATGGACACCTATAATTGCCCCCCTACTCAAGGTGCTCAATACTATTTGGTGAATGAACAGATCTGGACACAAGGAGCAATAGTAGTCTTACTAATGAGCCTGTTAT